CTTCAGTGTTTATTTCTTGGCGAGGGATTGCCCTTCAGCCTTTTTGTCTTCAAATATCTTTTCGATGATTTGTTTGTAGATTTTGGTTTTTAGATATTTTTTAATTAAATTGTTTTTCAAAATGGGTATTTATTTCGATGAATTTTGTTGTCACTTTTTAAATTTTTTATTTTGTCCGAGCAGTGAATTTATGTTACGAACACTATTTTGTAATGTGAGATTTTAAGGGGATTATTCCATTAATTATTTTCCACCTTATTATTTTTTGATCAACACAAACTTTTTATTTTTTTGCCGGTTGTATAGAGTTTAAGGGGATTATTGCATTTATTAATTTCCACCTTATTTTTTTCAACACAGGCTTTATATTTTCGTCGGTTGTATCGGGTTGTTGGCCGCGCAAAATTCCTTTTTCACTTTTAAACTTTTTTGGGGTTTATTTAAAAGCTTTGCTTTAGAATTTTTTAATCACACGGCCCCACGTTGGGCGCCAATTAAGTTTCTCACTAGTGAATTGATTAAACAAATTTATTTTTATTTTTAACAATCACTTATTCACTATTACAATTTTACAATAGGTCGAACTTATTTAATTCACTGCTCTTGTATTTATTCTCGAATATTTGTTCTGCTCGATTCGGATCTCAAAAACGGACTGCCTGCTCTCTAGTTTAATGATCAATAATCAAACCTCGGCTTAAGAGATTTTATCCCCAAAAATTGATAAAGAGAATGACTCAAGAGAGTCGGAAAATAGGATGATGCAATTTGCCAATTAAATTCGAAGTCCAATCTTGGCCGGAAATTGGTGTTTACATTAGCGGAGTTTAGGGACCGCTTTGGGGATTTTTTTGTTTACGTTAGCGGACTCAGGGCTCGCTTGGGTCTCCGATTGTTTACAATATCGGTTTGGATGTTTACAGCATCCGTTTGATTCGGACTGCGTGAAATTGATCTGGGTGGGAATGATTTGGAGGCCTGCTTGGCAGAAATAGCTGACCACGGATTTATCTCGGGTCTGTCAGAGTTCTTTGGAAATTAGCTCTCGGCTCAAAGTTGTTTATAAATTGGGTAAGAGCCCCTAACTAATGTGTCATATAACTTGCATGAGTGTCACAGGAAAATATGACACAATCTTTCTGGCCTCCGTATACTGCTAGCACTCAGCTACTCTGGAGCCCTACACTGACTACTTGGATACGGTACCGCATGTAATGGTCGTCATTCTGAACGGAATGCTCGCCTATCGTTTTACAGCCAGAAAAACCAAAACCAATAGTTTTAGCAAACCCCTATTAAAGTTTACTTTAGGGCAGCAAAGGGTAATCTTAGCTTAGCTTTTGCGTATCAGCTGCATTGTTCAGCGCCGCCAACTGGGTTCAAATTTCCATGACGTTCCAAGAAAGAAAGCTTGAGAGTCTGGAAATTTTCGGTATATAAACGCCCACGCGGATGCAATCAGTCTCTTTCACAACCCGCAAAAGTATTCTTATCCGACCGTCGTGATTGATCATCAAAAAAAAAACGCTACCAGGTTAAGTTCGACGCGCCATTGATAAAGTCTAGCACGCCAATTAAAGTGCACAAAACCCAAACCATGGTCGTTTTTGCATAAGTGAAAGAGAATTTCCTCTCGGATGTGGCAGATTGCAGTCCGTTCGGGAATGGCATAATCTCATGTGCCCCAAACACGTGCTGGGTAGTGGAAACTTTTCCGGAAGATCTCTTCCGCTGCTGCTTAATTTTCACTTCCTGGAAAAACATCTTAGATCACAGGTATGGGCCACCTTTTTTGGTATATCCGTACTCTAAACTAAATCAGCTTTCTTGGCAGTTCGAGGGCTGCCCGTGCTCAAGCTCCAACACGCCAGCGGCTTGCTAACGCTAAAAGGCTAAAGCCAACCATCTCATGAGCCAGTATTAGTCGTCTGGCGTAGGGATTTTACGGGTATGGGAGGTCTTATCCGTCACCACCAAATACCGGCAGTCAAGGCAGTCCCATCTATTAACGCCCCGGAGGAATACCGTAGCAGATTCAAAGCAGAACAGCGAGTCGATTGACTACCCCCCTAGGAATCGCGACTGACCCCTGAAGAGACTCTTCTAACTCTACGTAGCCTTATAACAATGAAAAATATTTTAAGAGTAGTGGTTGCGGAATTTAATAATTTGTGGAACCTGACCATCACTGAACCAAAATCATCTTTAGCCCATATAATCTTTATTAGTGTAGATGCCAAAATAGAATTCACAGCTAACAACAACACCGTCTCATCACTATCACGCTGGTAGGCCTTTCAACGCTGGAAGTTTAACCATGTGAGTCATACTTATGCGCCCTTGCACACCTATTTTGTGATCTATTTGTAAGTCGATCCAATCTCTCGTGTGTTTTCCCACAGCGCGTGGTGTAAGCTCCGATCGGGAGCTTTATTAGTTTACTGTTTTGCGTATATATACTGAGAGCTTGGTGACCGCTTACAAGCTTATAAAGATTATTACCTAGAAAGTATTCTACCCTAAAAAAAGAAAAGAACCAAGCAAATGTATTATTAATCTCGTGCGAAGTAAAAACGTGATTCGCTCGGTTCCACAATATTAATAACTCCGAACCCCCCCAAGAAAAATAATGACCCAAAAACAAATCGTAAGGCTGTTTAGCCACCATATTACTCAAATCTTCGAACCTTGATTTGTAAGGGCACAATAATGAAGTTATAGAAAGAAATACTTAGTTGTAAATCCTAATAATGTTGCCGATATCCAATTCCATAAATTTAATCCGGCGAACCAAAACTTTGTACATACGTAAGAAAACTTGTAAAATTTTTCGGTGTCGGTAGACACTAATTAATCCGGTTCAACTAAAGATAATAGAATACTACCTACTTGAAAGAAAGAAAATGTTAAATCAACAAACGCCCCTTTGCAACTAAATACAGATAATACCTTGAAGAAAATCATGCACGGCTAAAGGTGTGTAGTTTCCTGAATTGACATGGCAACTTAAATTATGAATCGGAAGTATCTCTTGGGTATCTTCGTCAAATAGTCGAAAAGATTATGGTTGGGTGGGTAGAGAACGCAAGTGTCGAATATCAGCTAAGACCTTGTGAAACGTTAGCCTGTCAGTAGGATATTTAAATTTTGCTCTCTCTTTTTTTTTTCTTCTTTTCTTTTCAATGTAAGTTCTATAAAGTAGTTTCTGTTGGAATCCTAAAAACTAAAGTATGTATGGACAGCTAGAGACGGCACACAGACCCACCCCATCGCCGAAAGAGCTAAGGCACTAGAGGATTCCACCCGCCGTTCTCATAACTGGGTAGAAGGAAGAGATCGCTAATCACAACTTATCTTGTGTATCGCGTACTGGCAGCACTTTTATTTGCCGCGAAATAGCAGCTCCTCATCCTGAGGCTACCATTACACGCAATGGAGGCTATCCAATGCAAGTTGGCGCAGATTCGGTGTCGAGCTAAGAAGTGCAGCAGGCAGCTCGCCGGAGTGGCACCGACGATACTGATCTACTTGCCGCTCGACTGAGGCTTCTTTCAACCCAGTATAAGATGCTTATCCGGACGACAAAGGAGCAAAAACCATAGGAGTAAAAGTAATACCGCTGGTAAAGGGGCCTGATAAGGATAGGAGGAGGACATAAGGAATCATGGTGAATTGACTGAAGGATGTGCAACTGAATGACTGCAGATGGCAGTTTGGAATTCGGCCTGGACGCTGCATGGAGGATGCATGGATGCACGCTAAAAACACCGTTGCCAACAGTCGTGGGAGGAGAGTACTCGGAATCTATGTTAATGCTATGCTGGATCGACTGTCGACGTTGGCTGTCGAGAAATAGAGCTGTGGAAACGCCTTTTCTCCGGCTGAAATGGAAGCATTCATATATTTGGAACTTACTGATGGATGTGCTGCTTCAGCTCTTGGAGCCACATTGTGACCTGAGCTCGTATGCAGATATCTTGCTACTTTTCGTCGACGGGAATTCCCGTGGAGATCTGGAGCGGATGGGCGATCACTTGATGAGCATCGTGAGAGCTTAAGGAGATAAGGTTGGAGAGAGGGAGTCATCCAGCAAGACAGCAATCATGTTGCTGAAAAGAAAGCTTTCATGCACAAGGAGACCAATGGTACGGTTTGCTGGAGCTCAGAAATCGGCTGGCTGGAGTTGCCGCAGGGGTAGCGCGGGTGCTTCAAGTCAATTGGGGGCTAGGCTCCCGTGCAAAGAGGAGGATTTACAGCGGACTTATAGTGCCCTGTGCATTCTTCGGTGCCTCGGTCTGCTACAGAGTTGCGAGAAGGGGTAAGTTCCTAAAACTCCTCATGCCAGAGGTCCATCGTTTTAGGATGCCTACCGGTATGCCGCAGTGTCCACTGTGGCACTGCAGGTGCTTGCTGGTGCTCCTTCAGTGGATTTGGACGCTCATCGGACTGCAGTGAAACTCAAGCTGACGTTGAGCACAGCCGCAGCTCCAAACTTGGCGTCGCTTAAGGAGCCCATTTTTATGCCGGTTATATTGTCTCATAATTTCCGTGAAAAGTAAGCTAGCCTCGAACATTTGTTACACTTGGTCTGTTGAGTTGGCTATCCGGTTCCTATTTTGTTGATCGAATCACTGGTACTAGACTTTAACAACATGGCTTCGGATTGTTTATTTAACTGCTCCTCTACTTGGAAAGATACCCTCATATAGAGAGTGCTCTCAGCTCAGAAGCTTCTTCCGCTGCTCCTGGCAGGCCCTCGAATCAATTTATTTGTCCTTTAGAAAAATCCGTTGTCGTAAACGTGAACAAATTTTTTATTAAGTTTTTGTTCTCTACTGTGGCCAAGTTCCGAAATAAGTGTCTGTCAAGCGTAGAATTTGGTTTGGCCGAAAAGTATTCATTTAGCTTTGAGCTTTGTGCTCAGATTACCCAAATTAAAAATAAAATGATAACGAAATATGATTTGGATTTATTATTGGCTTGTTATTAGGTATCTGCTAACGGTTTTTCATTTATTTTTTTAATTATTTTTTTTAGTTTTTTGTTTGGCTTGTATATAACATGGTCGATTTATCACTTGTTATTCCCAGGATGAAACTCTACCGATGAGCTTATACTTTGTACTTTTCTACCGCTTAGATACATACAGTACAATAAACATAATAAGAGATAGATTAAATCATTCTTTTTAATTTTCCTTTAGTATAGGCTTATCAATAATATTTAAATGTTGTAGTTACCATAACTATGCACATCAGCACTTGTAAAGTAAACATTCCAAACGATAAAAAAGCCAAAGTTGTAAGTGCAATATCCGTAATGTCCTTAAAGTTTATTTCTCTCTTATGTTTCGATAGATCGGCTAAAGAATTTAGACGCTCGGGATTTTCTTCGTAATGAGACGTGGAATCTCTTTGAAAATTTTCGTATCCTTAAAAGAAAGTTATTATAGCTATTAACCAGATTATATTTATTTGACACTCACCGTTTTTACTATTTTTATACAAATCAGTTACGAGTAACTTTGACATAATTCCAGATGTAGACTCATGCTGTAAAGAATAGGCGCATAAGTATTTTCTCCCAAATATGAATCTGACCTTACTTACTAAGTTATTATTACTCGGAAGTTGAACACTCTCATAAGCATATCCAGTAATATCTCCATAATCGTATTCTTCCTCAGCTGGGGTATGTGGCTCAACTATACCAGACAAACTTCGAAACTGATCATCACTCCCTTGAGTATATTTACTTATTCTATTTAAGTTTTCGGGCACATCATGTAAAGCAAGAGCTCTGAAAAAAAAATTTAAAAAATTGAATTTAAGTACAAAGGTTTTAAAATTAATATTCTAGGGGGATTTTTGTCATGTGCTCTTAGTGAAAAATGTGTTAGTAAATTAAATTTTTCTGTGAGCATCCGTAGAGCATCCAAATGTTTACTCAACATTCCTAAATATCCAAAATGTCCTCTAAATGGCCCAGACATCTCAAAAAAATTAGGGTGAAAAATAAATACTTCTATGACACGGTAACTCCTGAATATCTACATCTAGATATTATTTTACGAAATGAAAAAATCATGAAAAGATCATTTATAAAACCTAAGATGCTGCTTGATCCCAGTTCAAACTTCTAAGGGTAAAAAGAAAAACATTTTTTTTGTACCGGTCAATATGCACTTGATATTATGGACTGCAAACCGAAAAACAATTTTCCAAAATAATCGATTTAGCGTCGCTTGTGACCGGTTGTGTTTATCTTGTGCACTGTGATTTTTGTCAATTTGTCATTAATATCTGTGATACTGGTGCCTTGCTTTGTGACATAGTCCAACTTAAGCAGCCGTCCTTGTGTTTTAAATCGTCTGTTTATGTTTAATTGTCTATTTTATTGTAGAAATTTTAACAAAACCTAACTCTGTTTTTAGTCTGTGCATTTCGTTATTGTAACTTCTGTACGCTGTGGTGCATTTGTTTCAATAGCTTTTGTTGTTGTTTTCCATAACTTTCTTGTAATCTCTCTCCCGTTTCTTGTCGCCTAAACTGATGTCGTGCATATTTTGTTTGGGTTTCGCAAGCCACGCTCAGTCGACAGCCACTCTGTCGCGCGCTCACTCACGTAGTCTCTACGCGCTCTTATACTTTTGTGTTCTTGTGTGTCTACATTTTAATTGTTTGATCCCAGTGTCAAATAAATAAATAAATAAATAATAAAAAAATAATAAATAACTTTTTTATTTGTTTTCTCAAAATACTTGAAAATGGCTCTTTTTTGTTCCAAAAGGATTGTCAGTTTGGATCGTCACCTAATGACGATTTTATTTACTGTCGTCTCTGCAACATAGTCATACATCCGAAAAGTACTGGACTTGTGTGCAGAGTAAAAGACTATATTGATCTGCGTGTTGCTTTTTCGTGGACTTGTGCCTCATGCGTTGAAATAGACCATGATTTGGATGGCTATGTTGCGCTGACCAATGATCGTTTTATGAAACTGTTTGATCAACTTATGAGCGTAGTTGCTGATTTTAAAGAGTTTAAGGCGGACCTTGATAATAAAAATATGTCAGTAGGGTCACCCAAACGCAAAAAGACCGCTCCTTCAAAATCTGTTTAAGTAAAGGCATCAGTTCCAAATCGCAACTTATCGGTTTCTACTGGCGCTGGGGGACCTAAAGCTTCACTCCCAGCAATACCATAGGTACCAAAAGCTCTGGAGGAGTCCCTGTTCCTGCTAGTCAGCCTAAGGGGTCAAACACTACGGAGCTTTCTGTGCCTACAGGTGAAGTTAGCTCTATAGGAGTCCCTAGTCTCGATAATCAGACGAACGATGTTTAGATTGCTGGTGGTGGAAGAAAGAGCCTCTCGGTTGTTCCATATAGGAAGCAATTATTTGTGTCTCCCTTAACACCTGAAACCACATCTGCAGATGTTTTGGAAATTATACAACAGGAATTCCCATCTCAAAACATCACAGTGGGGGATTTTAAATTTCCATATGTTCGTAGGATATCTTCATTTAAAATATCTGCTCCTCCGGAAATATTTAATGTACTAAATTCTATAAGTTTTTTGATTGCCGTTACCTCTTTTTTAACATCGGAGAGAAAATACTTTCTTAATCCAAATGACATAGAATTCGTTGGTGTTAAAGTTTCTTTGAAATCTTTTTCTATTTATGTAACTTGTTCTTATATTGCACCTAGATCCGACTTAACAATTTATGAGCAACATTTGTCTGCAATAAAAACTGTTCTATCTCATCATTCCGAAAGGGATGTTTTGATTGTTTTGGGTGATTTCAATCTCCCTGACATATCTTGGTCCCCTTCTACTGACTCACTTGTCTCTACCCCTTTATCTGACCATGACTTCGTTGACGGTCTGTTAGAATTATTATTACGGCAAGTTAGCTTTATACATAATTCACTAAACAGACAATTAGATCTTGTATTTGTTTTAGATCCGTCTGAAGTCACGGTGTCTAGAATTGACCCTATAGTTGTGCCAGAAGACCAGTATCATCCCACATTAGAACTTACAAATTGTCTTCCCTGCGTTGATACCCTCTCTCCTTTACTTTCTCCAACTAAAAGTAGATGCTTTCGTAAATAAGACTTTAGCAAACTCAACAACTTGATTTCACAATATAACTGGACAAATTTATATAATTGCTTGGATATTGAAAGTGCTACGGAACTATGGCCTAACCCCTTTTTTCTGTGAATGTGTTCCTTATAGTTTTCCTCCTAAGTAAGACAGGCTTTCTTGGCTTACCAATGAGTTGCAAAGAATTAGAAACCTAAAACAAACTTCTATAAAAAGTACAAAAAGTCGGGTAGGCCATCCGATTTTTCAAGATATGTGGTGGCTCGTACTAATTTGAATGTACTTAACAGTCATTGCTATTCCATGCATTTGAACCGATGTAAATTTGAATTTTCAAAGGATCCGAGGCAGTTTTATAACTTTGTCAATGCTAAGCGAAAGTCTTCAGTATTGCCATTATCTGTACGATTAAGCCCTATTCAGGCATCTACGAATTCCTGTTTCTTGGTCTAATTCTAGCTACCCTAATCACTTAAACAGGGCTAATTGTATTTTTTTTCAGTAATCACCGAAAGTTCTCTCTTAAGTGATTTAGAAACAATAACGCCGACCTATTCTCCGGGGCCAGATGGACTCCCTTAGTGTGTGCTTAAGTTTTGTGCCCGAACTATTTGTAAACCCATTCTTAAACTTTTTCATTTGTCTATCTCATCATCTGTTTTTCCAACTATCTGGAAAGATTCTTTTATTATTCCACTCCACAAAAAGGGTGCGAAGGTTAATGTTCAGAACTATAGAGGAATCTCCAAATTGACTGCAACTCCTAAAATATTTGAACGCATTATTTTCTCTCATTTGCAACATTTGTGCTCCTCTTTAATATCTCCGCGTCAACATGGTTTTGTTAAGCGAAGATCGACCATCTCGAATTGACATCTATTGTAATAGATGAATTCAATAAAAAAATTGCAGACAGACGTTATATATACAGATTTTAGTAAAGCCTTTGACTCTGAAAACCACTCTCTTCTTTTATTCAAATTAGATCAGCTCGGGTTTCCGAATAATCTGTTAACTTTGATTTCATGTTATTTGATTGGTAGATCTCAGAGGGTTTTGTTCAAAAACGCTGTTTCCAAGATGATCAACGTGACATCTGGAGTGCCTCAGGCAGTTATTTAGGCCCTTTGCTGTTTACTCTGTTTATAAATTATCTTCCCTCTATCGTAACTCACTCTCGTGTACTAATGTATGCTGATGATGTTAAGCTTTGTTTTTCATATAATAATGTTGAGTCTGGTTTCTGCTTGCAGTCAGACATTAATAGATTCCAGGAATGGTGTCAGTACAACCATTTTAATTTAAACTATCTTAAATGCAACGTTATGACTTTTTATAGGGGTACGCCAACGTTCGCGAGTTACTCTCTTCAGAACATGTCCCTGGACCGAATATACTCAGTAAACGATTTAGGTGTTCTTCTAGATCCTAAATTTAAATTTGACTCCCACATAACCTCTACTGTAAATAAAGCTATGAGTATTTTTGGGTTTATAAAGCGTTGGTCTAAAGAATTTGATGATCCACTACCAAATTATTATTTACCTCCCTTGTCCGTCCTAATTTAGAATACTGTTTTTCCGTTTGGAGTCCTCAGTATCAAGTGCACATTGACCGTATAGAGTCCGTACAGAAACAATTTCTTCTTTTTGCCTTACGTGGTTTGAAGTGGGATCAAAACGTCAGGTTGCCTTCTTACTCGAGTAGATTGCTATTAATTAATTGGCCTAGTCTAGTAAACCGTAGAACTATGCTTGGTACTATTTTTATGAATAATCTTAACAGAGGCGATATTGATTCAATGTTTCTGTTAGACTAATACGAAACTACTATCCTATCAACTTGCCACGATGTTCATCTAATTATAGTCAGCACGAGCCCTTTCGGGTTCTTTGTAATAATTATAACAACCTATGTCATTTAATTTGTTCCTCAACTTATTGAAAACTAAAATCTTAGCTCATTTGATTTAGTCTTGTTGATCTATGTTTTGTCCTGTCTTTATTTGTTCTATGTACCTTCCTCGCGATCCGTATTTGCCCGAAATAAAAATGGGCCCGCGCGTAACGAGCACGTGCTTGGTGTCGTTTGGGCCACTTGTTTGTACTGCTCTTAGTGCATCAACGTTCAACAACAACAAAAACAAGGAAGAACGCTATAGTCGAGTACCTCGACTATCAGATACCCGTTACTCAAAGGGAAATGGAGATATGCAAGCAGCAAAGTGAGATTAAAATGCGCCACCTACCGGCGGTAGACAGATTTAAGCGTTATGGGCGTTAGAGTGGGCGTGGAAAATTTATTTTTGGATCAATCGATAGGTATTGACGACACCAATACATTTCAGTTAAAATTTCTTATCTAGCATGCAAATTGTGGGCGTCACAGGCTTTCGCGGTTTGTGGGCGTTTTAGTGGGCGTGGCAAACTTTTTTTAGGTCAATCGATAGGTATTGTTGAGAACAATACATTTCAGTTAAAATTTTCTATCTAGCATCAAAACTGTAGGAGTTACAGTTTTGGGCGGTTTGTGGGCGTTAGAGTGGGCGTGGCAGTCTACTGAAACAAACTTGCGCTGCGTAAGAAGCTCAGGAATCTGTACGCCAAATCTCAATAGCCTAGCTCTCATAGTTTACGAGATCTCAGCGTTCATCCGGACAGACAGACGGACAGACGGTCA